ACATGGAGGCCATCGATCACCGCTCTCACTTCTTATTTGTTCTGGAGAATATTCGATCTCTTGGAGACACATGAGCTTTTTTTTGCCCATAATTCGTTACAAATTCGCAAGACAAAGGTCGAAACCTGGCTAACGATGAAGGATTAATCAACTCCAATATTGTTTATTGTTACCTCGTAGCGCAAAGGTATATCAAGCTGTGACCTACCGACCTTTCTACCCTCCAACAAAAAAATCAGTACTCCGCATGGAATACAATAATGGAACAAATCTGCCAATTATTTCAATGTCAGGCATAAAGTCTTGACGACTCAGCGGACAAGTTCTAGACCCCAGATGAAGTGTTGTTGGCTCGAAAAATTCCTTGCTGCAATAATTGGCATCCCGGTTTTGAAGTTAACGAACATCTTCTGATTCGTAGTTCAAGATTTCTCTTGGCGTCTGAGTGTTTCATCAAGTCGAATAAATAAATAGACAAATAAAAAGTAATCAAAGTTCGGGATTTGGCGACTTGTACACCGCGAGGCACCATAGGATAGCTAGTTAACCAGACAAACGGACGGGATGCCGTGGCAGGCCGAACTAACTGCGATCAACCTTGAGATCATCCACGGTTCCTTGAAGGTCCAGATTCACAACGAGCTATTGCGGCACAACGTTGCGGAACGATGCAAAGAACGATGGATGCGTCAAGCTGAAAAGGCACTGCCCCACCACCGTGTAGCTTGCTCTCCTAACTGGCTAGCACTCATTAGCTAAATGTGCACTTCCGAGGAACCAGAATCGTAAGAAGCAACGGATCATCACGACATCAGAGCGCAATCAATTCCGAGTCCCACGCCACCCGTCAAATTACAGGATCCAGGTACTAACCCCAATGTATCAAATGTATCGTACGGTACATATACAAGTTTGTACACAGCATAAGTTGTTTGCCGCCTGGATCTGTCTAAAGATGCGCAGTTTCCTTTTTTTTGGCTCAAGGCCTGGGCCAAACTCGTTTTCCTGCAGAAAATAATAGAGGTAGAGCGAGTGGCGATGACA